CCGTTGTCGAGTCCTTGTTCGGTGGCAGAGATGTCGATTATAGATTTACCAGTCGGGCAGCCCGGCTAACGCTGGGCTTCCCTCCTTCTTATGGGCTCGCCCTGCTCCGCCTGGCGCTCTCCTTCCTGTGAGAAATTTGCTATGCGTAAATAACACTCCGAAGTGAATCTTCTTCTCTAAAACCTCTTCTATTGTCAGTGTTCCCATCCTGTCTCCTCTATTGATTTCGCTCTCCAAGTCCACGGGATCAGGAGCTATAGATTTCCGTCATTTATTTCGCGGAAACTCCGTCCCTTGAGAACGGAGTCCGGCCTTACTACTCACCATAAAGGTTCCCATACCGCCTCCTACCAAGTTTGAACGCCCTAGAGCCAAACACAAAATTTTGGCGCAAACCTCGCTTTCTATGAGCGGGGTCCGGTCCTCCTACCTACGATAAATGTTCCCATGCTGCCGCCTGTACTCCTGCCAAGTTCGAATGCCCTAGGGCCAAATTGACTATTTCGGCGCGAAACGCCGCTCCCTTTGCAGCAGTCAAGTTCTGCCACTTACCATAGATGTTCTCATCCTGCCCCCTTTACTCCTACCAAGTTTGAACGCTCTAGGTCTACGGGAACATGAGTTATGAATATGCGGCCCAAAATTTCTAACGCACACGCCGCGCTCCCTGTGAACGGAGTCCGGTGCTACCACCAACCATAGGTATTCTCCTCTAGCCCCCCGTACTTCTATCAAATTTGAACGCTCTAGATCCACGGGGACAGGAGTTATGAATTTCCGGTCAGACACACACACCGACACACACACAAAGAAACACACACACACAAACACACCGACACACCAACATACACACTTAGCGAATTATATAAAGTAGGATTAGTAGCACGGTGAATAATGTAACACAGTCGACTCTGGAGAGGTTGGGGGTGCCGATGAAGGCGCTGGGCCGGTAGGAGACTGGAAGACCGTATATCTTAATAACTAACTGGTGAGCCCGCCATCCCAGGGTTTATATAGCGGTTTTCCCACCGGTCACAAGATCGATAAGATCACCATAATGTGTGATTACATGATCACCAATACAACAGTTTTCGTTGAAGGCCATTAAATCAGAAATCCTTCATGGTTACAGAGTGAGTAAGATAGTGCGTGGAGGCCCCGAACCCTTCAAGACCACCACTGTTAATAGTGGTTCTGTGGAAAATTTTTAAAGGTCATGAAGCTACCTAGTCCCCTTTATCTCCGCAGAAGCAGGTGAAGGTACTGAGCATTTCAAAATTAGCGTGTATCACGAGGCTGACATAGCCAGCCACTGCTCATTTATTGTTGCTGTTCAAAAATACTATGATCGTCACCTCATACGTAATAACTCACGATCTCATCTGCGCTTAAACACCTGGCTTGGCTGACTATCTATCCCCCCGCCTACTTTTGCATTTATGCTGTTAGGTGAAGATATTCTCCCCTTAATCATGACACGTCGCCTGTTAACTAATCCTCACCAGGGTCATTTTTAGGCGCCTACACAATCCTGTTTTTCTTATAATTAAGTAAGTGATTATAGAGCAAAATGATGCTGTTGCAAGTGTGAGAAATGTCTTTGATCTCTAACATAACATAACATTGTGTAGCCACCTCATGACATAACGTCCACCGCATATGTTCATGAGGTGATCAGGGCCATCCTACAATTATAGCATGTAAAGATATGCAAAAAATTATAGGGATATTGCATATTTTGAGTAAGGAAATTGTCACCCCAGCAATCGAAAGGTCGTAGAACGCGATAAAATCAAAATCAAAAGAATTATAAGACCACAAGGAAAAATTCAACTTGGTGCACAACCCTCGCTCCCCACAAAACCCAAATCTTGGTCTCTCGTATATGGAGCGCCACCCTCGCCACTGCTCCGAGCTTCCGCTTTGGGACCATGAAAGTCCATGTAATATCGGTTCTCTGATATTATTAGGCCTCACCTAAAATTACCTCATAACTCCATTCAAAAGATCGTTTGGCAAATTTGAAAAGCTGATTTGAGATCACCATCAGAGGACACGTCTAGCAGTGCAGTACTCATTCCGAAAGGCCATTTCGACTTGGGATCCCTCCCTAGTCAGATCGTATTTGTTGGCCCGTATAACATGAACGTACCATTGGAGGTGTGCTTCGCGCATTTTATCGGCGTCAGAGGCTACTCCGAAACGCTTCTTCGCTGCAACATTCTGTCTATTCATGTATTATTTGCCTTTCCTCATAATCCTACACTAAAGCAGCCCATGAAGTTTACAAAGCTCATTCATTATCTCGTCCGTTTAATTTTTGCCTGTAGCAACTACTAAAAGCTATGTGAAATCTGAGTAGAATTGTCACACACTCCCGGTTAGTGTTTAATGATTCGATGGGTGTCATAGAATAAACGGGCATGGTACGCTCAAATTATAACACTCGAATCAAGAGGTTCCGAATTATTTCCATGAAAGTTGCCAGAAAAAAGGTAGGAAAGTTGACGTGAACCAAAATATCATCCTCGAAAGTAATGAACATTGCTGAGAAGCACACATTGTATTCTACACTACGAAGTAATAAAATCACACTCAGATCGCTGCCTTCATCGTAAATTTTCTTGATTATCTAAAGTCTTTCTAAATTAATTCTTAGCTGTTCAGCACTCAATCATTTATGTTAAACGTGAATGAGCATCTAATCCTGTTTCCGCATGCCATTCAACAGACGACGCCGTATTCAATGTATTAAAGTTCGGTTCCTTCTGTTCCCAATTTACAGTCTTCTTGAAAAAATTACCTACGCGTTTCACTGTACCGTCGTGAGGTCAGTCACTAGCATAAGCGAAAATGGCAAACGATCAAATCTGGAAGGAATTTCTATATCAAGAAGGGGGCATCTAGAGCCATACAGAAGTGGATGTTTCGAGGTGGATCACATTCGCAGGCTTCTAAGGATTTCGCCGACGGCTGGTGGAAAGTGTTCTGGACTGTTCATATCAGGACCGGATATCCCACATTGTTCATAGACGAGTTGGATGCCATGTCCAATTTTGAAGGGGATAACTGAAGGAGTGGAACTGAGGTAGACGTAGCTGTCCAAAAGAACCTGGTTAAAGTTGTAGATGACATTGTCCATTGCCCCTTGATATGCGCTACCTTTTTCGTCACCACGGCGGAGAGGCGTCATCTTGGCCTTGTAATTGCCAGAGCTCGTGCGAGTTTCGCAAATGCTCTTTCCGGTCTTTGCGGCCTCGACAACGACTGCTGCTCTTTTTTCTTTCATATATTCCTTTATCGCCTTCCAGCATACTTCACAAAGCAGGACATTGACGACTGCCTGTAGCTAGCGCGACTGAGCGACCGATCGGCAATCTACAAAGATGGTCTTGTTAACGATTTGCTGACTCTCTGCTTTCCCAACCCTGTCGTGAATATGTTCGACGAGCTGCAATACAATATCTCTTATCGATGTTGTCGATGAAGTTATCTTACCACAAATTCGCCTGGGGATCGTTGTGATTCTACTCATGACGGTCTTTGGGGCTTCGTTTCCATACCTCCTCAGTTCGCAGTCTCTCCGTGCACTGAGAAATTGAAACTAACGTGGAAGTTCGAATCTGTGTAGAACTCCGGAACAAGAGCAATGCAATCAGGCAAATCTCTCGATTGAAGATGAAGTAATTATTTTATAATGGAACTGTCTACCGAACAACTGACAAGTCTATCGCAGTGACAGAGCTTCTGGTGTTACGGGTTAACATGGATGGTGTGGGTCGACATGATAAACTCATCCTGATCCCTCTGTTCCGTTCCAAAAGTTTCGCTATATAGTTTTTTAGTTGTTCTTCTGAGACTAATTTTGGCGTTAAAGTCACGAATACTATAAGAAAAGCGTGCTGCTCTCTGGAAATTTTTTCCAGCTTTCTTTCCTGCTCCTCCTCGCCATCAGAACTTGCCTTAGTGCTCCGAAAAAACAAATTTCCATCCTGGTTCTTCTCCTCTTATGCAGCCTTCAATGGCTCTGTGGTTTTAGCGATCTCTCGCAAACGATGCCGTTCTGGACCTCTCAGTTTCAGAGAAACATTTGTACTAATTTTTCTGAGCATATGGTGTCCACAAGCAACTTGCCAAGCTCTGACGTGGGGGCTGGGTAGGGTCATATGAGCCGATCTCGCACCCCCATACTTCAACGTACACGTATGTACGTACATATACGCCTGTGAGGAGGCAAAACGTATAAATCGCTCCACCTCAGCAGAAATAGGAAGTTTACATATCCTTCGATGTGAGAGAACCCTTAATGAAGGAGATCTGTGGTTCCATAAATGTTTTCTGCACAACAGAATATGAGCTGAACTTTGAAATGTGATGAATACACAACCATAATTTTTTAAATTTTCTGAACGAATCATTCGACCGTTTCAGAATAAATTTCTTCAAATATTATAAAGCATGTTACTGCAAAGTTTGATGATGCATACGCCTGAACAAGAAGTGTATGTTGACATTGGTTTCATCCGAAATTAGAAACTTCGAATGACTGTTTCATTTTGAACAACTAAGGAGTGTTTTGTCATCTGCGATTAAGATAAGGGGGATTGCAGAACAGCGAATGTTTCAGTGAGTCTTGGTGCGTCCACGTTTATTTGAAAGCGATGGAAGTCGATTCGATAAACCAGCACACTTCACTCTGAAACGCTGTACCGAAGAGCTACGAATCGAAACACATTTACTTACAAAGTACCTTGATGACATAGTCAAAAACGGTTTGCAAAGTGAAGGATGAATGATAACAGGTAGAGCAGATGATGTCGAGGAATAAACAATTAGTCTACTGTAGAGCAGCTCCTTCAGGCGACAAATGGCGAACGCAGTTGGGTTACGTTGGTCCTGCGGGTCTCATCAGATTGTGTGGATAATCGCCTTTCGTCTTCGGTGAAAACAATAAATTCGACCTGAAAAGCGATGGAATTAAAATCGCAGTTTTCAACAGGGTAATAACAGCCGAGTCACACGCCTATGTTGTGCTCTCCCGCTTTTAGTGTGCAAACTGGAATGCTGAGTCAAAGCTTGGCATTTCTTCCTGTCAGAAAGAAGGAATAAAGAATAGATAATAAAGATGATTCAAAACACGAAGAATTGCGATCGGTGTCGATTGCCATCATTGTAACCCTGTCCCGACTACTCTCTCTCTACTCTATCCACAATCGAACGATACATGTATCGCGAAAGCTTCACGATAATTTTTGATTATCTAGGTCCGGAAGGATGACGGGAAAGATAGTTCTGATTAGTTGCAGAAGTGGCGAAGAAAACGCAAAAGGCGACGCAGCCAGAAAAATATCCGGCCTGGAAATATCGGTAAAATCAGGGGTTAGACGAGAATGACCATAAAGATCGCCTATAAGAAGTGCCCAGACGAGCTGTGCAAAGGTGGTGCCATTCCATAAAGCTGGCGACAGTAAATGCCTGGATGTAACGAGAGCGCCTCGGTGCGAATGCTGAAACCTATACAGCTCCCATAACGCAGTGAGAACTGATCGTGTGTGGGTATGTAATCGGCTAAGCGGCGTTGGAGTCTTAGCTAAAAGGTTCTCCGACCGACAGCTTCTCTTGTGCTATCTTTGGAGGTCACAGGTCCATGCTAGAGTAAGTTTTCAGAATTTTTCTCTCAGGTGGACTGCGCCTTCAAACACAATAATTTTACAAACATGACTAAAGCATTCGCGTCATAATAAACACATTAAACAGCTGACAAAAATAAGAGACAATAAGAGACTGAAACATGCAGGGAAAATAATTCTTCGCAGTAAACTCAGTGCAGTACTGACTGAAGGTACAAAACATTGTGCATGAATCAGAAAGCGGTAAGTAAAGGAAAAACGCTCTTACGTCTCCAAGATTCTAAACCTTGTAGTGCATTCATTCTGTTGTGATCATATAAAACATATAAATGTAAATGGCTTTAAAGGAAAAAGAAGCTGACTACCGCTGGGTCACAATGTTGCCACTTTGCAAGAATTCAGGTGAAATTCTACACATTTGGGAGATATTGTAAGGAGTTGTTCTGGGTGAGTGTTCTCTATATAATTGCTTGCTATGCAGTAGCCCATCACATTCTTCGAGAAAAGGGAGGCTTGAAAGACAGTATGAAGAGGAAGAAATAGAAATCGATTGCGTGCTCGTGAGGAGATAGTTCTCGGAAACCAAGAAGGGCATCAGAACACTTCTGGTAGAAAGAATTGGCTCCTAGAAAACATAGCCATCAATCTTTCCAAGAGCGGAACCGAGAATCTGGCAGTAGAACCTTCACCATACAGAAAAGACAGCGAACGAACGGTGATGGAAGCTGATCGCTCAGACTCTCAAAGACCTATGTAGGGGAGGTCGTCTTGCCTTGCAGCGTGTGAGAGAAACGCTGGATCATGAGGTCTATTCAAAGAAACAAGGCAGCGTGACTCCGGAACGATGAATCTCGAAGAGTCGTGAACGTAGACGACGCAGGTCTCAGAAAACCCTCTTTTCCACGGGAGTCGCAAAAGGCTCTTCGAAGGGAAAGAAAAACTATAGGAAAAGAACGCTTCGTACGAGAAACTCGTTGGACAAGAAAGAAAGTAATAAATTTTCCTGCTGGCCAAAGCCTTGAAGGATCCATCCCTTTTTGATGGAGGATGAGGTCCGTTAAGCTCGAAGGAAGATGACGCTTGGAGGAGCACTCTTTTTAAATGGGGTGCTGATCGAAGGTCTTTCCAACGTTCATTTAAAGTGGCTCACCCAATATCACCCAATTCCTGAACATTATGACCACTGAAAAAAACAATCCCATTCGCATAGGAGTGTATTCCAACCACGGCTAGATCAAGTTGACTACCTTTGCGTACGTGCAGAGCGATTGGCTGGCTTACGATCGAGGAAACTTGTCCTCATCCCTCAGGAGCGGCTTCAAATTGCGAACCCGGCAACACATGTTAGCTGAGATTAAGTACCGGTTGGGAGCTAGAAAAAACCAAGTTCCTCAGTTGAAGGAATGCGGGCAGCCAACCGCAGATTGCCGCGGAGAGGCCTTCGAAAGAGGGATGGGATGTCTAAGCCTAGCTGGCAACGGTAGCCTTGACGAGGCTGTGGAAGTTGTCCTAAAGTCCAAAATGAAGCCTTCGAGCGTTAATCAACCCCGTCAGAGGGATGCTCTCATGCATTCGATTTTCAATCAGAATCATAGAGGTGTATTGAATGCGTACGTGGCCTATAAAATGACTTGCGGTGGCCAGCCGATGTACGAGACAGCGCTTACATCCTCCCACACGAATCTGGTACCAATTAACCGACCCCGGAGGATTAAAGGCTTGGTTGGCTTAGACAGATATTAATCTGGGATTCGAATCAGTGAACATGCGTGTGTGGAGAGCGCAATGTGCCACTACACCACCTTCGCCCTTGAAATAAATAGGTGTGAAAATGGAGAGAATTTTGTTTCATACACATACATACATACATACATACATACATACATACATACATACATACATACATACATACATACATACATACATACATACATACATACATACATGCATATAGATGTATATAAAAAAGATACAATGTCCATCGTAGTATGCCAGATTATCATTGCAACAGATGCAGCCGTGAAGTAGAGGGTTGTCATGTGGAGTAGTGATCAATGTACATATCGATCACGATTGGGTACGTTTGATCCTTTGCCATTATAGTATATATACTTGGAAAGATAGATACCTGCCTAGATAGATCCGAAACTATGTTTGCGAAACGTACCTATGTGGAATAGGGTCATGAGGTCCAGGTGTTGGAACATGGCCGGCGCAATATACCTGAAACCAGTAATTAATCACTTGTCGAACATTGGATTCTTACGGATTTACTTCAACGTTTGATGACTTCATGGCCACTAGTAAGCGTTCTCTCCGCTATGTGAGGTATTTTTATAAAATTGAATCCATCATTCAAAGTTTGAAATGAAGCTGTTTAATAAGAATGTTGAGGATCGTTCTAGAAGTTTATCTGTCAAAGCTATAGTTGCCAAAACTATTACATGCCATATGGAAGGATGTTTACAAGTAGAGCTCAATCTATAACCGTATCAATTAGCACTCACCCACCTAATTGATCTGGTATTGGAGAGACAAAAGGACTGCCTTGTATATCGACAAACAGCAATGTGATTATTGTGTAGTACCCATACCCATTCAAAACGTCACTATTATTCTGATAAGAAGAAGAAGTTGAGGGGCGCATCGCAAAAAAGAGCTCGATTAAAATCAAAAGGCTATCACTCCACGGTGAACCAGAAATCAGCAGTTCTGCTCTTGTCTCAGATACTCTGAACTGATTTGGCTTTCACATCCTCTCAAGTGTATAATTCTATTTTGGAATCAGATAGATGAGTGCCTGACTATTCGTTACAGACGCTCTTGATCACCATGAATTTAAACTACATACATATGTCCGGTTTTTCAGGAGACAAATTGATAGGCAAACAACTACTGCGAACCTCTAAGTCTTGAGTATCGTTCCTGTTGTTGTGATAGGTCTTCAGTGAAAGTCTCGTTCCACATATCCAACACTTGAAACATCCTTTGTGGAACAAGGCTCCATCTTTTAGCGGACCAATCTAAAAATTCTAATGTTGAGAAGTAAGGTATACACTGACTGTACATTTTTGTTTCGAGACTGCTCTGAATTTACCAAGTAGATCTGAGGACCCAAACATTTCGAAACACCTTCTCAATTCTCTTGCGAATTTATGTGAACTCTCATTGATTAGGCTTTATATTCAACACTAATATCTATTTCACTCAACCAACAAAGAAAAAAGTCTGCCTCAAATTCCCGGATCAGATCGCTAGCCAGCTCAGTTCTAATAGACGCGCTCGCGATCTGTTGGGTGTGGGATCTTCTGTACGACCTCAATCGTACACAGCCTTATCTCAACTACGTGCCTCTCGTGAGTATTACATGACCTTACCTTCATCATGAAAATGATGACAGCAGAAAAGTGAATTTATCATGGGGAACTTCCTAGTTTCAAGTGTTTCACCAGTTTTTTCACCGAATTCATAGTTGATACTCCTGTAGAATGTGGAGAAGCATACCAGTTTTCTCAACATGAAATTATCCTCATTTTATAAGTAAACTCCGCTGGTTTTGTTTGTGGTGGTACCCCGTGAGTTCTCGCAAGCTGTGAAATTCGCCTCCAGAAAAAAGGTCCTGAGTAAGGTGCTATTCCAAACTTGGTAGTTGCATACAAAGCACTCACCCTTCAGATTGAATAATTGTTGATTAGCTCTCTTCAAGATGTGTATCTAGCATGAAGTATTGCGATGTTACTCTACTATCCCGGCTAGCGATCGACTACGATACTGCTCTCCCTGACCTTGCACCGGTAGCCTGGGCAACCTTACGACTGCCACTACTGCCACGTCCAGCGTGCTTCATCTCCGGGATGGAACTATCATCTGCCGCACTTTCCAAGCAGAAGGAAAACTGACAGAACTTGAGGATGCCGCCACCGAAGTACCATTTGACATCATTGGTCTTTCTGGCACTTGGAGAAGAAAAAGCGAAGTTTGGCACGGCCACGTTCTGGTCATATGATCTATTTGTCGGACAGGATTTTTGATCAACAAGAAGTGGACAAGTTTTTGCTCGTCCCAGGTCATATCAGAAAGAGTTTGTTATTTGGATGTGGATGAAGTTAGGAACCTGAGAATTGTACAAGGGTTTGCACCGACTACTGCTCACCCAGATGAATGATATGAAGAGTTTTTGCAACAAATCCAAAGCACTGACTGCTCGGTTCTATAATCAGAGCCTCGTGGATTCCACCTGACATGCGGACAAAAAAGCAATTGACATGGTGTTATCTCCCGGCAACAACATATTCTTGAATGTTGTAACATTGGTCTATTCAAGTTTGTCAGTGATAATCGACTTGTTATGGCTGTCGCTCACAAAGTAAACGACATCGATATTGAGGAAAGCCAAGACCGCCACAACCTCAAACAGATTTTTCTGCTGCCATGAGGTGTCTAATTTCCAATATGAGTTCTGACAGTTACGAAAAACTCAATATGAGTTCTGAAAGTTACGAAAAACTGAAGAAAGAATCCAACACTGACGGTGCTACGGCCACATCAAGTGTTCCAAGTAGTTCTATTTTCTATAACCACAAGGAAACTATACAAAACCACAAAGAAACTATACAAAAACACGCACTTCCTACTAAACAGCGACCAGGGAGTAATACAGTCGAGTTCTCTTCAGTCACCTAACTAATACGTCAGTCACCTAACTAATACGTCTTCCGCAAAGAAACGGTCTGAAGCGAAAACAGTTCCTACGTCTGCAGGGAGCGATCTGCAAAGGATGTTGTTTACGTCGAGCACTACAGGAAAGCCAAATTTCTAGAACAACATTGACACAACTCGAGGAGTCTGGTGGTACCATTCTCTGCTGTCGCATTCCTAGTGCAAGAATTCTATACCAGCGTATTTTCTTCAACTAAGATAAGTCCTGCAACCCTTCCCAAACTTTCCCAAAGAGAAAGCTTTGAAGACCTGCCATCAATTTAGCCTTAAGAAGTCGAGTACACTATTTAAAAGATGAAGGTGGGGAAAAAACAGTAACAGACAACGACGGTTGAAGTGTTGCTGGCAGCATATGACGTTGTATCGTAACCGTTGACGAAAATGTTCAATAGCTTGTTCATAGATGAAAGAGTTCCCGAAAATTTACCAGAATAATAGCCGATCTCAGTGGTGTGTTCGAGAAAAGAAACCCTTTGCATATTGGGAATTCGTCCATCGCCTTACTACATATCTAACATCTACACACTGTTTGCTTTGATTATGGGTCAATAGATGACGGCTCCTTTGGAAAACCAATCAGTTGGACAGGATAGTTTTCGCAGAAGCTTCTGAACCGTGGACCACATTCACGTCATTGATCAGTCAGGATATCGCTACCCTGTCAAGGTATTCATTCAAAAATTATTCGTTTCCCCTAAAACATCTATAAGTCAGCCCAAGTAGACATCAAAATTTAGAGGTTAATCACAAAATCAAAATACACGGTTTTACGGTACCTGGTGCAATGAAGGGATTAACATAAGCGGCAATTATCTTGACCATGAAGATATGCAGATGATGTGGTACTTATGGCGCACAATGCGCAAGAACTTTAGAGTATGTTACAGGAACTCTTCGAAAGAAGTCACAGTCTGTTGGCTTGAGAATCAATTCCTCGAAAACGATGGTTACGACCAATTTCACCGATCATCATGGATGGGCATGAAATTTCATACTCAACAAGTTTTATGTTCCTTAGCCAGATAAACTCTTTCGATCCTGATCATCCCGTTGAGATACAACATTGAATTCATGCTGGATGAAGCGCATTCAACCGCTTTCGCTCTTTCCTTACTAGCAGAAAAATTCCAATGTGATTCAAACGTCGTGTCTACGGAGTTTATGCAGGATCACGCTGCTTTATGGCTGCGAAACACGGACGATGAGAAGAAAAGAGACTGCAATATTGAAAATTGCACAGAAAAGAAATATTACTTGAGGAGCACTTCTAGGAATCTAGGAGTGTTACTCCTAGACTGCGTACCAATACCTGGTTGGAGAGTGTCACCGAGGTCCCAAATATATTAGCACGAGCAGTCAAAAGGAAACGGATGTTGACGAAGAAGGTATTTGAGAAAAAAGACAATAGATGGACTAGAATAGTCACTAATACAATTGGCCGTGGAAATAGAAGCGATCTAGGGGACGTCACAACCTGAGATAGCGAGGCTCGGTTGCGTCAGTGCTCTGAGAAACATGGTCGATAGTTGCTATGAACGACCCCATTCTTCGGAAGAGAAACATGCAACAACACTCTGCAACGATGTATTTTGTTTGAGATACTGAATGAAATTGCAATGTTCTGTGAAACTGCGAAATGGCTCAATTGACGAGCCGAAAGGCGCTGAGTGCCCACTTGAAGACGAGATGCTCAATTTTTGAACAGTTACATCACTTATTTGGAGTGAAAATTTGAAACAAAAAAGAATTAATAGCCTTCTCACATCTCATGGAATTTTCATTCACTGCTTTTTCTAAATTTTTGATTCTCGTAATGAGATTCTCGAAACTAGAGATAACGAAAAATTTCCTGTCCAGAGACCTGATTTTCTATTAACAAATGTTCACCTTCTTACTGTAGTCATTCTTATAATTGAAATAAGATTATGTGCGATTGAGGTGAGGCACGTAATTAAAGTAAGGTTGTGTACGGTTGCACCTAGGTGAGATGTGACCCCAATCATACAGAAGTTTGCACACCCTCATGCAACGTTTTCATTGAGGCTGTCAAAGACTCGTGAAGCGACTCAAATTTTTATAACGACGGTAGTTTATTAATCTTAGGATTGAATATTTCATGTGTATACAAGTTAAAGTTCACGATAAAATAGTTTCTGAGATTTCCCCATAGGATGAATTTGACCTCCCCCCGTCCCCGTCNACTAATACAAATGGCCGTGGAAATAGAAGCGATCTAGGGGACGTCACAATCTGAGATAGCGAGGCTCGGTTGCGTCAGTGCTCTGAGA